GCACAAGTAAGAAGGTAGAAGTTTCAGAATTAGTGGTGGCTGTTTTTTTTCCATTTGCAGTGTCACGCTTTATGGGGGAAACCTGTCTAAAGTAGAAATACTTTTGGTTGTTGTGGGTTATTGGCCGTGTTCTGAAGGTTGATTTGTCACTGTGATTGATGGGTGTTGTTAGCTAGTTTTTTGTGTGCAGTGATCATCAGTCCTTGTGGCTGGGTAGAGTTTGTTGACCTTTTTGCAGGCTGCATTTTTCAGTGCTGGGAGCCAAGCTTTGTTGAGTTTTAAACTTTCTTCTTTTTTTGTTGAAGCTCTGCTGGTGTTTGTGGATTTCAATGGCTTCCCTGAGCAGTCTAACATAATGATTGCTGGTGTTGTCCAGTTTTTCAGTATTTTGAAATAGAATTTCATGTCCAGCTCGTTTTAGGGCATGTTCAGCTACTGCCGATTTTTCTGGTTGTTTTAGTCTGCAGTGTCTCTCATGTTCTTTGATTCTGGTGTGGATGCTTCATTTTGTGGTTCCAATATATACCTGGCCACAACTGCAAGGTATCCGGTATACTCCTGCAGTGGTGAGGGGGTCCCTTCTGTCCTTTGCTGACCGTAACATTTGTTGTATTTTTGTGGTGGGCTTGAATACTGTTTGTAGGTTGTGTTTTTTCAAAAGTTTCCCCATGCGGTCCGTGAATCTACAAAGTGTGAAGCTCAACAAAACTTGGCTCCCAGCTCTCAAAAAATACAGTGTGCAAAAGGTCAACAAACTCTACCCGGCCACAAGTATAGGGGATCACTACACACAAAAGACCAGCTAATGACACCCATCAACCACAGTGACAGATAATCTCTTCTCCTTAGCACAACAATGCACACACAACAAGACACACTAATCACCCATCTACAGAAAAAGAGAAAAGCCTATCTCACAGCCATAAATACTGCACTCCCAAGCCAACTACACCAGAGCACAGAGTGCTGTCATCTGAAGATGATGGCCACAGAGACTGGCGAAACTTTAGGAAGAACAACCTTCAGAACACGGCCAAAGAGCCCAAAAAACTCAGAACAACCATTAGATCCCGGCCATGAAAGGCTTCACGAATACAGAAATACTTTTGTTCATTCAGCTGGAAGACAGCTTCATTTTCACCAGCTGGTAATAGATGTACAAACTATGTTCATGGTTGCTGCTGTACTAGAACTGCAATTATCATTCAGCAACCTAGTTATCTGACAAAAAACAAAAGAGAAATAAAAAATAAACAAGACAAAAATGTTGTGACACATTAAAGACTAGCTGCTATATTTTAGTATGAGCTTTCTTGGACAAGTCCACTTCCTCAGACATAAGAATGGAACTACATGGTAAATATTTATACATGGCCCCAAAACACAGATACTGTTTCCTAGGCACAGGTTGTCAATAATGTGGCATTTCACTCTGGCAATGATCTGTAAGACACCTACTGATATTTAGTTCCCCTTCCAGGAAGCATTGTTCTGTAAACAATAGCAGTGATTGGTGGCTAAATTAATCCCAGGCTATAGATAATAAACAAAAATAACATGGAAATTAGTATGTCCAATCACTAATTAGTGAATTAGTGGTTAATTAGGAAGGAAATACAGCTGGGAAATACAGCAGACACAATACGATTACAGCAGTTTGTAACATTTACCATGGCTAATATTGAGTCCACTGAGATGGGTTTTAAACATATGTACTGTATATATTTTATCTCAGTTGTCTGTCCCTGGATTCTTGCCTTTTTATTTTCCAGAAATGCAACTTTCAGATCCTGTGCAGAGTGTCCAGGTAATTAACATTATTTACATAATAATAAAATCACATAATAATTTAAGATATGCAGTTGACAACATCTTGCTGGCAGAAAGTAGCAGTGACTTCAAACAACTTCTGGTGAAAGTGAAAGAAGAAAGAGTCAAAGCAGGACTGCAGCTGACCATTAAGAAGTCAAAAATCATGACTACAGAAGAACTGCAGCCAAGATATCAGAAGAAGATCTTCAAGTATAAAGGCATGTCACTGGAGACCAAGACGAAGATCATCCACAATCTTGTATTTCCAATTACGTATGTAGGTATGAAAGCTGGACAGTGAAGAAAGCTAAGAAGAAGAAAATAAATTCATTTGCAAGCTGGACAGTGAAGAAAGCTAACAAGAAGAAAATTAATTCATTTGAAATGTAGTGGTGGAGGAGAGATTTGCAAAAATCCTGGACTGCCAGGATTTGCAAAATCCAGGACTGCTAGAGCAAACCAAACCTGAACTATCTCTGGAGGCTAAATGACAAAACTGAGGCTGTTACACTTTGTACACATTATGAGAAAGCAATATTTCCTAGAAAATATAATAATGCTAAGATAATTTGAAGTCAGCATTAAAAGGGGAAGACCAAATATTACATTGACTTCCTAAAGGAAGCCACAGCCTTGTGTTTATAGGAAGTGAGAAAGGCTGTTGAGGACAGGACATTTTGGAGATTGTTTATTTATAGGGTAGCCAAAAGTCAGAGGCAACTTGATGGCACATGATAATAACAAAATATTTTCTGTCAAGACCTATATGATTTCCCTTATGCAGCATAAATTGGCTATAGAAATCTGGCCACTGTGCCAGAAATCACACCTATTTTGTATGAAATGGAATACGAATGGTCTGTAACCTGTTAAATCAAATTCCACACTAAACCAGACTGACTTGGACTGATTTGAACTTGGTCTGAAGCCGATCAACTTGGCCCAAATAAAGTCCGAACCGCATCTATAACAGTCAGAATTGTTTCTCATCAATTCAGAAATTTAATGACAGATTGTGTGTCCGAAATGCTGCAGAACAGCACCACATAAAGACCAGTCTGATGGATGGGGAGGAGAGTTGGAGTTTGCTCATTGGTAGCTATAATAAGACAAGAATCTCATCAGCACTTGCTAATCACAATCCTTGGCAGGAAGGATTGTGTGATGTCACTGAAGTCACATATCCATTTCTGTCATATAGTTCTTCACTCTTTTGCTTCTCTTCAGTTGTTACTAACAGATCATTGAAAAAGCTGCACTAAATGTTTCAGAGATGGTTGATTGTGTCTGAACCTCTTTTTTCCTGAGCAATATTCTATGAAAGCTTATATTAAGATATAGCAGTTAGTCTTTAAAGTGCCACAACATGTATTTTTGCTGTTGTTTTGTTTTTCTTGTTGGAATCTTTTTCCTTGTGAATCATCTAACCTAATCCTTTTTGCAGCTCTTGTTAACTTGTTTATTTCAGTATTGTTTATTGTATGTGAATATGTTAGGTATTGGCATGATCATTTAGCCTCCCAGACCATACAGCTTCCAGTATGACTGCAGCAAAATTCTCACTAGTACTCTTTGATTACAGTTTTTGAAACAACTTTGTTGAGGCTGGGTGGTCACTTTGTGTTTATCGTAATTTCTGTTTCTCCTTCATTCATTGTATCAATACCTAACCTCCGAATTTTCTTTCCCAATTTTTTTCCAACCCAGTGCCATTCTGTCTTTCTCATTAAATTTGCTGCTTCTTTGAGTGCATCTCTATGTTGTTTCAAGTGTTATTTTTATTTATTTATTTTATGATTAAATTTGCTGCTTCTTTGAGTGCATCTGTGTTGTTTCAAGTGCTATTTATTTTTATTGATTTATTTAATTTATATGCCACCCACACTACCCAAAGGTATCTTAAAATTTAGTTAAATCACTTACTAGTTATATCACTAGTCCTTTTATTTGTCAGTGGATCTTTCCTTATTCCTTTACATTCCCTCCCAAAACATTTCCTCCCAACCTTGTAGCCCTATTTTTTAAGGTTATGTTTAATTTTGATGTCAGTCTTTGTTGCTTAATGTGTTTGTTTTGTCTTTACTCAGTAAGCCTTGGTCCACAAGCATCATATATAAATCACAGACACTATCAAAAAGCAGAATGTATATTAGCAACTTAACCCCCCCCTCAAAAATCTATTTTTTATCAGTAAAGCCAAATTTCAATCAATAAGACTAGTTATTCTTATTCTATATGTAAGAAGCATTACTTTCCCTTCTAAAAACAAGGGATAGATTTTATTGCTATTACGTTTTATGCCGCACCTCCTTACTAAAAGTGCAAGTAAGGGTGTAACATGCAAATATAATAAATTTTACTTGGGAAATGAAAGATTAGTAGTCAACAGATTGTATTCTTTCATCATTTGATAGTCCTGATTCCTTTAGTCTCCCCTTGGAATGCCCCATTGGGCCACATCATACATCAAGGCCATTCTCCCATCCTTAAGAACAAGTAAGTGCTGGAGATTTCTAAATGGAGATTAGCTTTATAAATGAAGAACGATTCTCATAGACAGGGTGGAAAAGAGTAGCAGAAGCTAGAGGTGGGCCTACCACATTGGCGTTAAGAAATGACACCCAATTGCTAGTCATTTAATGTGTTATTATTGTCTTTTTGTTGCCAGGAAAAAGGAGAACTGCTTATGAGTTTTTCTGCTTCATGTGCCAAAACAACATGGCTGGCTTTAGATATGTTTCTTGACATGGGTTGGGAGAGGAAGGGAAATGTCATTTGTTGGCCCACCTCCTGCTACAAAATACCTTGGGCCAGCTCTGACAAAAGCAGATCAAAGACTTATACTTTTAAGATCCTATGAGGAGAATATTCTGGGTGTTTATGTGGTCTGGGGATGAATGTGAGGTGCAGATGGAATCACAGAATCATAGAAGCATATTTGTAGAGTTGAAAGGCATCCCGAAGGGTCATTGAGTCCAATGCCCTGCCAGCACAGAAAATCCATGGCTAAAGCATCCTTGATGCTTGACCTCATGTTTGCAGCACATGGTTCAGCAAATACTTTGTTCATCAACAATCAGAACAATATGAAAATTTAAATAAGTATTGCCTCTGTGACTTTCTTATTCCATTTCATTGTCACTTTTTTATGTCAGTTTCTTATTATGTTGTAAGATACAGGTTCATACCTCATTAGCCAGAGAGGAGCTTTATCTCAAGCCATAGATCAGCCGCCGCTGACAGTCTACAACAAAGATCATTTTGATATCACAAAAGGCTATCTTTGAAAGGAAAAGAACATTGTTCCAATATTTTCTCCCCATATAAATCAGCAAACCCACTAACTTCAATTCCCAGTGTTTTTTGACTGCAATGCGATTCTATAACAGATCAAATGGAACTGCTCTGTAGTAAAATCCTGTGATGACGGTTTTGGATTGTTATTGATAACTATGTTTTAAGAGAATTTGCATCCTACATATTACTAAGGGAAATTATAACAGTATTCTGTGATCTTGGGAATTGAGGAATTGTTTTTCTTTTTTAAAAATTAGAAATTCAGAAAAGGAGAATAACAGCTGCCTTTTTTCTTAGATTTCCACAGAGCACAGAAATAATTATGAAAGGAAGGGTATTGCTGCAGAAAATCCAACATGTAGAGCTTTTAAACTGAAGAGAAGAAAAGATAATAACAGAGAGTATATATTGTTAGGCTGTTGAGAGTTTAATCATTATTGTATTTTTATTTTAGTAAAATGACTAAACAATTTCTTGATTTTCCACTATTTCTGTTCACAGATGTTTTTACACTTTAAGACCTCTGAATCCCATTAGACAGGATGATCACACGTACATGATAATAATTACTTAATTCCCATCAATTGATTATTCTATGTTCCTGTTACTGGTTGTCCAGTGTTCAAGTCCCGTCCATTCCACAAAGAGAAGGAAGGATTCTGTTTGCTGGCTCTGCCTACCCCTTAAAGTCTGTATGTTCAACAAAAATGTAGAAGTGTATGCACATGGAAGAAAAAGAATACAAAAGCTTCAGGCTGCCATCTTAAACACACTCTTAACAAGAACATCCCATTGAATTCCATTGGATTTCTTCAAAGTAAACATGTACAATCTCACAGTATATGATTCCCACTAGAAGAAATGGACCTCAACAACCATGGACAGACACTATATGAAATGTTTATCTGTAGTGGTTGTTCAATATCAAAACTGGAGTGGCTATAATTCCAAACCACTTAACTGGTAATAGGTTTAGTCAAACAATTTCAGTTCCATTCACAGTCCAAAAGCTCATATTAGAAACAGAAGCTATTTCAGAAGTACCTGTTCAAAATATTGGACAACACAGACATAAAATACTTAAAAATACAGCACAAATACTAAACAGTGGTATATCTCTATCTGTTCAACCATTACTTAGCTAGCTCTTGGCAATACATTTAGAGAGAAGTATATAGTTCATCTTCTCTCATTATCACTTTAAGGTCTGACTTGTATGTAGGATGTACATAAGGGCAAGACCCCTAGAAAACTGGAGGGTTTGCTTATGTGTAGATCCTACCTGGGAATATGAATGTATCCTCTTCAGATACATCAACTATCAAATGGAGAAGGCAACAGCAGAGAGATTAGAGGCTTGACACTCCTCTCTAGGGATATTGTCAACAAGGTAAGTAATGAGTGAACAGAACTTATTTCTATACATACACAATACACTCACATTTGGATTCTTTGCTGGCCCATTGCATTGTTCCAGAAAAAGAGAGCTATGGAGAAGCTTTTGTGTATTGTGACATCATCAGAGCAATGGGAAAATGAGAACTTTCCTTCAGTACTGATGGAATGTGGGCAACAATAGCTCACAGAATTAAGGGCAGGAGAACAGAGGTATTCAGGAAGGATCTCTAGTCATAAGCTGGTCATTAAAGAAAAAAACTAAAATTACATTCACTCTTGACTGCCTTCTAAATTGCTTTAACTTTGGAAAATTGGAGTTAAATGAGAGGTCATGTTATGCTAATTGAATCCTCTGTTCTATTATATGAAGGTAGGCTTTATCTAGAGGATAGAGTAAGCATATGATTCATATACTTTAATTCACTACAGTACAGCAGGGATGGGCATTAGACAGCTCTGGATTTACTTGTAGCTCTCTGGGGGATGTGCATTAAAGCAGCAATGGTTTCTGCTGCTTTAATGCAAATATATTCCAGATATTTAGTCATGGCAGCAACAAATGACCTTTAGATTAAGTAGAATAGGGAATATTTATCACATTTGCAAGTATACCCAAGGTGAGAGGAGTAGCTAATCTTTCAGAGGACAGAACCAGGGTATATACTGGAAAACTGAGTCAAAATAAACAAAATAGACTAAATGACCCTTTGGGTTTCCTTTCAACTCTTCGGTTTTATTATTGTATGACTCCACACTCTGCTCACTTAACTTCCCTTACAGTATATTAATACTGTTGTTTTTTATTTTAAATTGCTTTTACTTTTATGTACTGTTGTAGTCACCCAGAGTAGACTTCAGTCTAGATGGGTGGGGTATGAATGAATGAATGAATGAATGAATGAATGAATGAATGAATGAATAAATAAATGAATAAATAAATAAATAAATAAATAAAATTACTTTCCCTGGTTATCCAAAACTTTCTTAAGCAAGTGGGATTTTTGTGCAGAAGAACTATGAGCTCTTTACAATTCTTAATAATCAGCAGCAGCAGCAGCAGAAGTGGTTTACCGTTCCCTTCTTCTGGGGGCATCCTGGAACTGTGCAGCTCGCCCAAAGCCACACAGGTTGGTTCTACTCACAGGATGCACTCCAAAGAAATTTCTGGGCACATCATGATTTCTTTCCAATTATGTGTCTTTTGCACCCAGTCCCAGATAGTGGATCTCAAGGATCATCCCTGCCTCCCACTGCTATATTACCTATAGCAGAACATAGTTATATAGCCATCTCACAATTCTCTTTAATTCACAGCCAATCATCATTGGAAACAACTGAGGAGCATGCAGGGAGCTGAGAATGTTTCATTGTCAGCAGAATCCTGTTCCCTGGGACTTAGGGCTAAACTCAGAGATCAGAGAGTTGGCCCTTCTGACCTCACCGAAGTAAAGCAAGCAAGGGTTGGAAAGGGGACCTGAACTGCTTTCTGAGCCAGAAAGAAATAGACATAAAGGGGATGTGGGTAAAACCCAGCTGACCCAGAAATGAGATAACTCAGAATGAAGGAACGGAGATGGGGCAGGATTGGGTGGCGAGTAAGGATGTGAGGCCATCTCTCCTTCAGAGAGATTTCTCTCTCTGTATGGAGAGCTGGGAAGCATAGCAATTCCCAGCAATTTCAGTTTGAAATACAGTGATGCCCCGCATAGCGATGATAATCCATGCAGCCAAAATCGTCGCTATACGGATTCGTCGCTATGCGAAATTTAAAAAGCTCATAGGAATGCATTAAAACCCGATGGGCAAAAAACTCACCTTTATGCGAAAATCCTCCATACAGCCACCATTTTTGCTGCCCAGTAAGCAAGGAATCCGGGCGAAAACACAGCGGGTGGCCATTTTTTTACCCGGCAGCCATTTTGGAACTGCCGATCAGCTGTTGGGAAATCTTTGTTATGCGAAAATCGGTAAGCGAAACAGCTTACCGATCATCGCAAAGCGATTTTTTCCCATTAGAAACATCTCAATGCGATCGCAAAAACGATCGCCAAAAATCCATCACTATGTGGATTCGTTGTTAAACGGGCCGCCTGTTAAGCGAGTCACCACCATATTGTGACTGTAGGAGCACAAGGGAAATAAGACAGGAAAGGGAACAGGTGGAAAGTAGGCCTACAGACCCAGAGTTGCTCATATGTGAAGCAAATAATTGGCTAAATTACTGTAACTAGTCTCTGTAGTTTTCTTCTTTGATCAAAAACTGACCACTGCTCAGCTGCCTGAATCTCTGTGTGAAACAAATTACTGATTCAAGACTGATTAATATCTTAAATTCTGATTCAAATCTGGATGCAACACACGCCTTCAACAATTTGCTGCATAAAGTAATTAAGATTAGCCGTTGCACCCTAAAATAAACACACTTTGTGTTTGCACCTCATCCATTTTGAATGAAGATTTCATTCATTGCAATAAATTATTGTTTTTCCTACAGAAAAATAGATTATTTGTCATACTGATATATCACCTTAGAAGTTGCAGATAAACTGTAAGATAAAGATATTTCAAACTGAATCAAAGTTAGCATCTCTCAACTTCAACGCATTTCTGATGGCAAAATATATCATTAAGTAAATGCTATCTGAATATATATATGACAAATTAATAACTCATGATATAAATTATATGGAGTATACATAATATAGTGTTTATTAAAATAGGTCAGTGATTAATTTAAAGACAGAAAATCAAATAAATTACCTGCAGATGCATATGGAAGTAGATGGCACATAGCAACAAAAATTGTGAAATATCCTGCCATTTCTACATTTTAAAAAATACAGTGGTGCCTCGCATTACGATGTTAATTCGTTCCAGCGAAATCGCTGTAGAATGAAAACATCGTAATGCAAAAATAAAAAGCCCATTGAAATGCATTGAAACCCCTTCAATGCGTTCCAATGGGCTGCAAACTCACCATCCAGCGAAGATCCTCCATAGGGCAGCCATTTTCGGTGGCTGTCTTGTGAGGAATCCATCCCAGAAAACAGCGGGGAGCCATTTTATTTACCCGGTGGCCATTTTGAAACTGCCGATCAGCTGTAGAAAAATCATCGTTTTGTGAAGAATCGGTTCCTGAAGCAGGAAACCGATCATCGCAAAGTGAAACAAGCCCATTTAGATCACTGTTTTGCGATCGCAAAAGTGATCACAAAAACATTGTCATAATGTGGTTTTGTCGTAATGCAGGGCAATCGTAATGTGAGGCACCACTGTATTCTGACTGATCACACACAGAAACACATATATTCACATAATCACTTTTGAGAAATGTCCTGTGTGTTTCTACTGATGAAAACATTCACCAGGTCTTCACATGTAATAAAATAACAATGCATTTGCTACTGATTTGTTAAAATTTGTCAAAAGGTATTATATAAACATGTTATAAATGGTTTGGGGCCTCCTAATGAAATATCTCTCCCTGAAGCAATCTACCCATCCCCATCACTCATCACAACATATGTCATTGAAAATGTCAATGCTAATGTAGACCAGAAAGTCCAAAACTAGAAATCAGGCATTTTGAGCAGCATTGGTTATGGATAGTATCATATTCTGTAAAGTCAAAAAATGCTGCTCAGAAGTCCTACAGAACTTCACAGACCTCTAGGGAAAATAAGAACCCTGTGTTTGTCACAGCTGACATTTATCCCAATTAAAGGTTCACTCCACAATGAAACCAGATAATCATTGATAACCACATCAAAATCCATCTGAACATCATGGTATATAAGCCTTTTCATTGTTGAAACAATTCCAAGCAACATCAGCATGTCTAGTTCTGTATGCTTTATTTCTCCATTGCTTCTATGTTCCATAAGCTCAAAATTACTTCAAAGTTGTTTCATAATATTGAAAAATCTTACAGCTATGGAAAACTGTGGGCACAAACACTTTAAAAAATATATGAAAACTAAAGTTAAGTTGCAGGCAAATATGCAAGTTAGAATTCAATGCAAAATACAGGAGCATAAAAATACAATCAAATGCCAAAAATTGTTTTTATAGCCTTTAAAAGTACTTTTTAAAAGCATGGGAAAATATCAAATTTGTTAAAAACAAGAATAAATAAAGTAAAAAGCATTTCTTAGCCTTTAAGCAAATGAAGAACATAAGCAAAATTACTCTTAAGTGCTCACCCAGCCAGACCAATTTGAATCTATGGAGGAAAATCCCTGATGATTGTAGTTGCTGGTTTCTGGAAATCTCTCTACAGTGAACCATGCCTTATTTGTTTTGTTTTCCTCAGCTAGCACTTACTGTCATAATTCACTCAGAGACACTGGTAAGAGAAAGAATATAAAGTTCAATTTACTCACAGTTCGAATAGTTCAAAAACATCATATTGTGGAAAAAATAATGTCTGGTTACAGGAACAGAGCTTACCTGATTCACAGTCTGCTTACTGACGACATGACTGACTTTAACTACATGACTAATAGAATTACTGAGAGACTACATTGCTAACTGAATTTATGACTGGAAAAGAGTGGTAAAAGCACTCTTAAGTAGGGAAGCATGGCTCTCTTCAAAATCTGAGGCAGAGAGGAAACAATTGGTTGCTGCTAGCTTGATTGACAGTCACTGCAGCTCAGAGAGATCCCACCCAGCCAAAACTTCTTAAAGGCAGAGTACAAAGGTAGCTAAATTCCAACAAACTGTTGTTGGCATCTGGTGCATGCAGAATAGTGTAAAGTAACCTTGCTATGACAAGTGGAATTCTTGTTTGTGTGTCTTATCTCCCTATAATAATGATTCTTTCAGATCTTAACACCTTCCCTCAATCTGTAAACAGTCTCTTTTCCAGGGGCTTGAATGTCCAGTGGTCTGGAGGTCCAATGAAATTTTTTTAAGGAAAATCTTTTTGTTCCTGCACCTACAAGAACTCTAATGTATTGTAGCATAGGAGAGCATATCACACTGTTTATTAAGCTATGTGAGCATGTCAAGTACTGCATTCTAATAGAGATCCACCTAATGGAAAATCTAAACCCTTACAAATTAATTCAGTAATCATGATATTTGATATCATTGAGACAGATTGCATTGTAGGA